CTCAGGGTGTGTCCTATATGAAACTGACTGCACAGGCTGTGAGCATTATATACCTCCTTATCTAATTGTATTATCAGCTTTCCATTAAGCATTTGTCCCAGTTTTCAAGTGTGTCAAATCCTTACTGCATTTTCATGCTTTTATTCTGTGGATCACCTGTTTGAAATAAAAATTTAAACATCCCAGCTATTGCTCAGCAGCAGTATTAGTTAAGGCAGTGTTATCTTGGCTAGTGTTCCTTGACCTCTGCTTTTACATGTGCTATCTGAGAATTTGTTTTCAGAGAACAGTAGTTCTGAAGGGATTTTAATTTTAGGTGTGAAAAGGCAGTTTGAAGCTGAAAGATAGCAGGATGCACAACAAAATTATCAGCACCTAAACCACAAGTTATAAGGTAGCTGGTGATCTGATGCTTGTGTCAAGGGGGTAGGGGATCCTTTGGGGTTTTTTAACATCACAAAGTCCAATGTACACCTTCTGTTGGGTTGGAGAGGTTCAACTCTGACTTTTGGGCTGAATTTGAGTCTTCCATAGAAGGCAGCTATACTAACAGACTGCAAAAGTAGCTGCTGTGTACAGTGCTCAGGTTTCAGTTTTATTGACCTTTAGATAGAAGAGCAAACTATTCTTGTGTGGTTTTGCTGGGAATCTGATGCAGCATTCAAGTACATTGTGTAGGATAAAGCCAAGTTAGTGCTTTTGCTGTCAGTGTGTGTGGTAGCTCACATACATCGCATTGGTATTGCAGCTGTTACTTCTAACAGATAATCTTACATTCTTTCCTGTTAGGATTGTGTGTCAAGTTGGACCAATGAATGAACCAAAACAAGGTCAAATTGAAGTTGACATCAATGGAAAATTAGGTAAATCACCCAGTGAAGTGCTGTTTACATACCAGGTGAGTGCATTTTCTTGAGAGACCTAGTTTATACTTAGTGCATGACTTAAGTTAGAAGTTTATCTGTTAAGCACAGAATTGCTTGTGTTTGCCTTACGAACTTTGTTCCACCAATAGCAGCGTCATTCAAGTATGTTAGAAAACATTTAACTTCAGCATTTCTATATACATAAGGTGTACCAAAAATCTATTCTGATCAATAGATCCAGAGTCTCAAAATGTTGTTGTTTGCCACTCGTGTTAAAAAGATGTGGTAGAAAAGCAACTGTAATAAACTTATTCACTATATATATATATATATATGAAGTGTCACTATTGAATAAAAAAAGAAAGTCAGCACTGTAAAAATATAAGTATTCTCTTGACACACAGTTGGTACACTATTTTAATCACGATATTTAGTCTAGGCAATGTTCTTAATTGCAAGAATGGATGCAGAGCAGCGGAAGAATAAGTAATGAAGGTACATTAATTTCTTTAATAATTGATTTCATTCAAAAGTATGGCATGCAGAGCCACAGACAGCATAATGTGTGTTCATATTACATATGTGCTTTGTTTTCAGTGTCACTATTACAGAAAATTTCATTTCTGTCTTAATTGCTTTGCTCTAAATGTGGGCCCTAGCTTATAGCTGGTCTAGTCTGTGGTTTTAGCAGAAAGTAGCTTTATCTGTATCTACAAGGTCTTCAAAATTTTATAAGAGCCTGTGATAATTGAGAGGTTTAAATAATCTCCATCCTCATATTGATACTTAAAATTACACCTACAAACTCTACAACTGCAAAACATAAAGCGTGGGTTAGGCTTTTATCGTCTCCCTGATTTAAAATTCTGTCTCATTAATTCTTGATATCTTGTGAGAAGTCAGCAGTAAGTAGTGGAATAAGTCAAGAATGACATGTGACTGAGAAGAGGATTTTCTTGTTTTCCTAACAGGCTAGAAGTGGGTTTTCTGTAATTTCCAAGTAAATACTTTCTCTCTCTGGTGATATGTCTGCAAAAAACACAGCACTCTTTTTGCTTGAATATGTTATATGTTCCTTTGTTGAAATGTAGGTTATAATTAAGTCATTCTTTGTCTATCTCATTCATCTTAACTGGAGAACAACCACATAATCTCCTGTGTGTCTGTTTGTGGTCTCTAGGACAGAGGCTATGACAATAAGCCTTACTTGAGATGAGATTTTGACATCAGACTGTAGTGTTGGGTATGTTTTACACCAGTTCTGCTATGCTTCTTTGTGTAAAGATTCTCCCATGGTTTGCACAGAAACTGCACGTGGGTTGAAATGTAGTCTGAAGGCCCCACGTAGGCTCTGAAGCCTTTCTGTGGACTTACTCTGGTGTGCTTCTCTGCTCAGCCCATCTGAGAGGCGAGATAAGCAGCCATTGCTTTTGGCTACTTAAGGGTAAAATTCTGAAATGTCCATCCATGAGATGCTGGCAGAAGCTGCTGTGCACAGGCATCATCCAGGTGAATGTTTTCCTGCAAGTCCAAGACTCCCTGTGTGCCAATCTCTGCCTGCGTTAAGGTTATGGAAATATCAGATGCCTAAGTTAACTGCTGATAAAGAGCATTTTTATTTACTGCAAAAATCTTTCTGTGGGAGCCCTATTTACAATATGCAAAGCAATGACAATTAATACAATTCACACCTTAAAACTGGTGATATTGGTTTCTAGTTTCATTTCTCTTTGTTCCACAAGAAAATTAAGCCAAACTGTAGACTGCAGTCAGATTGAAGTCAGTACAGGGGTGTCACATTAACATGCACCTCTACAGGTGTGACACAAATGCTTTTGGCATAAGAACAGACGATCAGAGCAGACAGTTGCATGAGTTGATGTTGTCTTAAAAGCTGCAGTCGTGTTTCAGTGCCGTTTTCAGGCAGTTCTTTGATGATTTCTTTCAGCAGACATGCAAAATCTGTGCTTTGTATAAAACCTCTTCTATTCAGTATATACAAAGGAAAGAAAATACTCTTCTTTCCAAGAGCCTTCCTAAAATAAATTTTCTCTTATGTATTTCCCCCTTTCTCTGGCACATCATCTGGCTACCCTTCTGCTGGTAACTGCCATTGTTTTTACCATGTACTCTGATCACCCAAAGCAGAATAGCTTCAGCTTTAACAGTGACCATTCTAAATGTAGTGTGTAGCATCATGGGGCAAAAGAGGACAAGGAGACACTGCAAATGCTCGGCCTGGTGTGTCTGTTTACACCAGAGGTGTCACCATACTCGCTACAGTCTCAGCCTCGTACATGTGGCTAGTGTCTGCCACCAAAAGCACATAGTCACTTACCAAGCAGATTGGATATAAAAAAGTTTTTGTATTATGAGAGTGGCGAGTCAATGAAACAAGTTGTCCAGAGCAGCTGTAGTAGCTGTCCCATTATTGGAAGGGTTCAAGGCCAGGTTGGTTG